AAAACCAAAAAATAAAAAATAAAATAATAATAATAATAATAATAATAATAAAACAAGGTTAATGTCCCAGGGCTGCTGTGACCATGTCCTTTCTGTCAGGCTACTTTGTTTTCCCAGAGTAATTCTGCCTGATCTTAATTAAAGACAAAGTAGCCCATGGAGACATGGTGAATGCTAAAGAAACAAATTTTGATTAAGTACAAGAAATTGAGATTGTTTTCCTTTTGCAAAACAAATGCCATTAAAAACAGGAGGAAACATTTTTTTTTAGCATTAGAGCTTCAAATTTTCCAGAAATTGGAGTTAGTGGCCTAAACCCAAACTGCAGATGGCTTCACCTGTCTTCTTGTCTGCGCAAGCTTGAAAATGAAAGGAAAAAATTCTGGAGATGAAAGATCGCATTACCCTGCAAATTCCAATGAGTTCATTTCTGCTACTAAAATGGCTCGTCTTTGACCTCTCATTAGACATTGCTAATTACATTTCTGTAAATCCACAAAATAAAGAGGCACTTTTGTTCAGATTAGGGCAGCAATCTATGCAATACAGAACAAGATGTCTCTTCAATAAATTTATGAAAATCTGCTTCTTGGGAAACCAGAATTAATATTCCCCCTATTCTCTTGGGTCAGATCTGTAAGGCCATTCCAGTCAGGGCTCTCTCTGCATGTTGAAGGCTACTCAATTAATCTTGTTTGCAGAGATTTGAAAGCCTGGACAGGAGGTCAAAAAATAAAACCAAGCAGAATACAGTTGAACTCCTAACTGTTGTTCAAGGTTAATCTTCACTCATTTTTCATTTTCTCCATTGTATCTTTATTCATTCTCTTTCTGCTAAGGCCTCTTTCTTTTTCACTTTCTTCTTTCTCTTTCACTCTCTTTTTCTCTCTTTACCCTATTTACACTCTCCGCGGTAGAGTTTGATTTGAGGGTCTTATCCAACTTGTTGAAATGTTCGGGTTATTTTATAGTATACAGCTGGAATAAAAATATATTGTTTTCATCAATTTCAGAAAATTGGAAGGCATTAAAAATACAGAGAGGAGTTGATGCTTTAGATGTTCAAAAAAGACTTGGACAAGTTGCATCTACTGACATTTTAGAACAGTACCTTGCATGAAGGAAGCACTCAACAATGTTAACTTTGTTCTTATTTTGATTAGCAGCAGCTCTGAGGGGGGGCTGTCCCGTGTAGATTGTGATGAGTCCCCAGGAGAGCTGCACTGTCTCACACTAGGGCAGTGGTATCTCGGAGGTTAGCCAAGCGCAGGGTAGAATCTCCACATTTACTCCCGGTACCCTCTGAGCATCACCCTTGCCCCTCACCGAAAGTCGCAGCCATAGATAAACCACAGAGCACTGTGACCATCAAAATTTTTCACAAAAGAGAAAAGAAAAGAAATTGAGGAAAACCAACACTTCCAATGTGGCTTAGCAGTTATAAACATCAAAAAAACTCAAACATGAATAGAAGATATGGGAAGGACATTTAAATTAAAGATATATATCTTCAGGAGAACATCACATGCCCACAAAAGGAGTAGCTAAGCTTCCGCCGCACAGAATGTGCTCTGCAGACCAGCAGCTTCCTCATCACTAGGAGTTTGCTAGAAGCACAGAAGCTTAAGCCTTACCCTGATATGCCTAGAAAAAACTTTCTTTCTAACCAGACTCGCAGGGGATTTGTACACTCATTTCTATCAGAGAAGCATGAGCAGTAGGCTTGGCATTTGAAAGTTTGGTTACTAAAATTATTGAGAGCCTGGTATAGTGGTACACACCTGTATTCCCAGCAGTCTGGGAAGCTGAGGATCATAAGCTCAAGCCCAGCCTGGGCAACTTAGCAAGAGCCTGTCTCAAAATTAAAAATCATAGGGGTGAGTAAAGTGGGTTTGGGATTTAGCTCAGTGAAAAAGCTCCTATGTTCAGTCTCCAGTACTACAAAATCCAACTGAGTCTAACCTGACCCGATCCAATCCAATCCAATGGCTGACAATGTAGCTCAGTGCAAAGAGTCTGGGTTCAATCCCCTATACTCAAAAAAATAATAAAAACTTAAAAAGTAATAGATTGCAAACCACAAATAGATGTGGCCAAATTAAAAATTAATAAATTGGAAGACCCAGTTGACATATTATCCATTAACACTATATCCACACTTTGATGATGAAACTAATTATTAAGAGAAAATAAAGGAGATTATGTTTATTTAGAATCATACACTTAACATCTAAAGTACCAGTCAAGCAAAAGCACAAAATAAAGCTTTGTTTGACCCTGCAGTGTTTCAGAGAACTGAACCCTCCTGTCCTCAAAAACACACACACACGCATGCATGCACACAGAGAGATATTTGAAAGAATTGTATGTTCCTAATTAACATATTCTAAATATGTGACATTAGAAAGTGTGATAAAGCAAAGACTTAGTGAAAGATTTTATCATATCTCTTAATAAATGAAATTTTATGTAGATCACTACCAAATAAAAATATGAATAATTTGACTAACAAAATATATATTGTCACCAACAATTTGGATATGTTCAAAACTGACCTTTCACCAGGCTATAAAGAAAGCGCAAAAAATTCTAGAAATCAAAACTCACATAATAGTGCAAGATTCTGATACATAGCAATAAACTTACAAATTAACAGCAAAGTATGACCATTCTATCCAAAGAGAGATAATCCACTTAGAAATATTAAAATATTATTTTAAATAATAGTTGTGATCAAAATATAGATGAATGACAATGAGAATTTTATATGTCAGAATGTGTTGATTATAGACAATGTAGCAAAATAGTGGTGAGAAATTTGTGTGTTCCTACATCCTACATTCAGTATCAAACAAGAAATATTAAAAACAAATGACTTTAATAAAGACACTTAAAATATCAATTAAATGAATTCAAAAACTCCGAAAAGTAATTAATAGAAAAAAAATATTAGTAAGATACAAAATGTTAGCATGAATCCATAACCATAATAGCTGTTTCTTTTAAAAACTAGTAAAACCCTGAAACTTTTTCTTAAAAAGGAAAGAATATGAAACCACATGAAAACAAAAGATTTCATTACTAGTAAAGAAACTTTTCAAACTTTTCTGTTATATCAGTAAATTTGGTAATATAGACAAGATGCATAATCTATATAAAATAGTCTGAGAAAGTAAAACAAAAATATCACATGCCTTTTCATTAAACTAATCCCAACTAATTTTATAGATGATTTTTACTCAATCTTCAAAGAAATTTTCCCATGTACTATAATGGACATGTTCCAATTCCATTCTATCACAGTAGCAAATCCTGATATTAAATCATATAATGCTAGGTCCAAATCACTCAACTAAACTTACAAAAACAGATGAGAAACTCCTAAATTACATGCGTTAATTGTAAATTTTACCAAAAGTATCAGCTGATATGTAGATGATGTAGAGATAGGTATATGTTAGAGTGTGTGTGTGCGTGTGTGTGTGTGTGTGTGTGTGTGTGCTTGAAGATTGCGAAGAATTTAGTAGTAACTTGATCTAATAACCTCCTTTAAAGAAGTTTGATGTCCAGAAAGAGGATACTGTTCATTCAACTACTCCAAATCAGTAACACTAATTCACCTAGATCATGTATAGACTTTTCTTCCACCTTGAAAGGTCTCCTTTCTTTCACCTCACAAATATTCTGTGAATGTAGATTGGTATAGAAAATGAGATGAAAATATAGAGATGTGGGTGTTTTCTTAATATTTTAAGTCTGATTGTAAAAACTGAGATAAACATGGGATATTTGCAAGTAACTCAACATTTTAGGTCAAGGTCAAGGAAAATGACAATAATCTTTCCTTTTTAGAACAAATGTGGAGTTTTTAAGCCACAATTCTGATTTTTTGAAGGCTCTAAAAAGTCCTTAGGAATGTGTAAAGAAGTCTCCCAAATGGTCTTTGTAGATATTACCTACTTTTATTTTTTTTTCTATTTTGCTAACCAATGAAGAAACAAATTGTCTATATCAAGAAAACTTCATAGGATGTGATATACTGAAAAACTAAGATTCACAACTTAATTCTGTCCTTCCTTACCTTACTTTGACCTCCACTGTCAGAAAAGCAGAAAGAAGTTGAAAATAAAAAAGTGAAGATACAAATTCATTAGGATCGATGAGTAATCTTTCCCGAGTCTTCATGTTGGAAATATGTGGTTCAACACACTTGTTTTCATTCATGAACTCATTCAACGAATATTCAGAGTATGCACTATGTGCTAGGTTCTCTGACAAGTGTGCTCCACATGGAGTTTTCTTCCTGCTGATTTTGGTCTTACTGAGCAATAGCTCAAGGAGAATGGAATCAGATTCAGCAACTCTCCAAAGAGCCTGCTATTTGATGAGAAGAACATCACCAGTAACAGAAAGAATGAAACTAGTATCAGTGTTAGTAGTGTCCAGAACAGGACAGAAGACTATTTCCAGCAAGAAAGATAGTGATTGATGTGGATAATGATTAGAGCTGACTTCCAAAACTGAGCAGGAGGGGATGGGGGTTTAGCTCAGTGGCACAGCACCTGTCTGGCAAGCACGACATTGTGAGTTCGATTCCTGGTACCGGAAAAAAACAAAAAACAAAACAACAAAACTGAGCAAGAATTCAAGGATGGAGAAGCACAGTGTTTTGCACTGGTGGATCAGCATTTTAAAGGGGGAGGAAAGAAAGCACAGAGCAAATTTGTGAAAGGTGATTTACTCCATTTAAAAATTGTAAGATCCAAACACATAATTTCAAAACAGATCACAGTGGACCCTGATTCCAAATTGCTGGGGAAAGAATGTTCTCTTCTAAAATTGCTTTTAAGACAACTCCAGCTAAGGATGAAGTGTTCGAACACTTAATTTCATCATGATTGTTTTATTAAAATCAAAATAAATAAAAGAAATCTCTATCATCAAATATAGGTATATTTTTACCTTCAATTTTCCAAAAGTGACAGTAGCTCTCCCTTTACCTTTCTCTTTATGGTTCAGGTCCGCTGTTCTGGGCCATGAAAACTCTTTCAACTACAAAGTTGCTGGTACTATCCATACCTGGAAAGCAAGATGCGATATAAGGATCAATGTTTATTTTTATTGATCCACTATGTGCCTGCATTGCAGAACGCTCTTGACTAGGCTAAGGAAGTTAGTTCTTTATTCTTGGAGACAGCAGGTCCACACCAGCCATCTCCTGTCAGAGAAGCAAACATTGATCTGCCCACAATATCTGTCTGCTGCAATCCATAGGACACCACATATGCACATCACCACCCCAAGTCCAAACGCTAAAGCAAGCCGTGTTTGCTCACTAACAGCCAGCTTTCCATTTTGCCCCCCAGCACAAATATGTATGCATTTCATATCTTTACTGGGACAAAGCCCCTTTGAAATTTCAAATCTCCTTTGGGCACAAAGTATCCTCCACACCAGCCCACATATATGACCGTCATGGACCTATGTTTCACGTGGTAACAGAGCTGGGAACTATTTGTTTTATTTTGTTTGTTTTGAGTCTAGTGTGTGGTACATTATGATTTATGTGAACTTAGACAAAATTACTCAGCGTATATGCTCTAAGCTGTCAATAGTATAATATTTTCCTTACACAATTCCTATAAGGATCAGATGAAAACTGCTTGCAAGGGCACTGGGAAAATGATGTCATGTACAATCATGATCATATTTAACATATTTTATCAAGCAGCTACTATTTAATGAGATCATACAAGTTACACAAATATGGCTGTCTGTTTCCAGAGATGCAAGTTCTCTCCTGAAACTCTTGGGTAAAATCAAGTGTAAGAACTATTTGTAGTAACTGTGGATATCCAAGTTCCCTTTCTTCTTGGAATCAGAAAAATGTGATTTATTTAAACATATTTAAAAGGTCAGCATCTGCATGGGCCACATTCCAACATGTATTCTAAGAGCGGAGGGGCAGGGGGAAAGATAGCAGTTCTGAGAGACACAAAAACTGTAGTTAAGGAATAACTTTCTCTAGAGGCTGACTAGGAATGAAAGAAGTTATATTTCACCGAATTGAGCAAAAGTTTCTTTAATTAGGTTGAAAAATTTGAGTAGCAAAGGTCGAGAAAACCGTTGGACTCTCTCCAGATTCTTGTCAGAGGAAGGGAAACAAGAGAAATGGCATATCGAGAGGGATTCAGAGACAAATGACAGAGGAAAGTGCTCTTGAATGGCGCATTTTAAATAATATCTCATTATGTTTACGATCACACATATTTTGAGAAACTAGCTCAGGTTTTCAGCAGTTCTATTTTATCCTTCACAAAGTCATTTTTATGTTTAGGTTGACAGCATCCATTACTAGAGTTTGTAAGTAGTGACACAGTAACGGTTGACACCATTCTCTGAGCACCTACTATGACCCTGAAGTTTGCGGGCTTTGCCTTTGGCAACACTGGCGGGAAGTGATGTCATACTCACTGTATGAGCGAGGAAACTGAGAATCATTATGATGAGGAGAGATGATCAAAGCCACACAGCTGGTGAATGACAAAAGTAACACTTGAAGATTGACCTGCCAAGCATGACAAGTAATGAGGTATGTGCATGTAATTTCATGTGTAAAATTAGCAGTAGAAACTTGGATATTGGGGGCTGGGGATTTAGCTCAGCGGCAAAAGCGCCTGCCTGGCATGCGCAAGGTCGTGAGTTCGGTTCCCGGTACCGGAGAAAAACCAAAAAAAAAAAAAAAAAGAAAAAAGAAACTTGGATATTGGCACTTGGAAAATGTTTATCTAATTGACAATAGAAAAATACATTTAGTGTTTAGTAATGCTAAACCCAGGAGGATCCTAGATCAAATCTAAAATTTTCCCTTTCTATGTGGGAAAACTTAAATTGAAGGAAGGAAGATCACCTGTCCAGAGCAAGAAATTTCACAGCAAAGCTGGTATTAAAAATTAAGTTATATAGACTCTACTTCAGTTGTTCCCAAAGGACCTTGGGCGGACCATACCAGTCAGCTGCAAAGATCTGAGAATCTCCCCAGGTCTTTGTTCTCCTTCTCCAGGGTCTGCCAGGTCTCCCTGGGAGAACCCCTGAGAGAAGCCTGGCCACTGCTGCCCTACCTGTAGTTAGAAGCAACCATCAGGCCAGAGTGGTCATGGTTTTCAGCCCTCGGTCCCCAAGGTCGTGTTGGTTTCCTTGCCAGTGTCACCGAGTAGCACCACTTGCCCTCTAGTGTCTCCCTTGGCCACTTGGGCTCCAGAGGTTGTGCTTGTGCCAAGAACCTCGCAAAAATATTTTTTGAATAGCTCTTCAGCTTCCACACCCACCTCACCCCTCACTAATTATAGGCATTCAAGCCCAGTCAGTGGAAAATGTGAGACATGAGCTTATTTTCTTCTCCGTTTTTCTTGTCATTCCTTTGCTCACATTCTATCCCCACCCAAACTTCATCTCTCTTCCCTTGGATACAAAACAAAAGCTCCTATGGGTGCAACTGGAAACAAATAAAAGCAAATACCTGCTCTGTGCATAGAAATGTACGTGCTTTTGTGTGTGCACACTTGTGTACATGCACAAGGGGTATAATAAGCAGTCAAATATTCTACTATGGTTGGAATCAATTTGCTGGCATTTTAGGTGGCAATCACAGTTTATGACAGTTATGCCTGCATTTACAAAAGATCTAACCATTAGAATTTACCTTTCTGAGCTTAAGAAATTAAAAGCAAATTGTGAAATTTGAAATAGAATCAGTCTAGCCAAATTGCAGTAAGTGACAGGACACCCAAGAGTGCCTATCTCTGTTGCTCAACTGTAAGATGTCACAAGTCTTGCCTCAGATTTGGAATCACCTGTAAGGTATTCCATTGACAGGGATGCGTGCAGATGAAGCCCAAAAGATTTCTTACAGCCTTGAAGAGTTAGTTGACAGAATTCACCAGCTGTTTTCTGGACTCTGGACAAGATATGTAACATTCTTCTAGGTTTTCATCTTCCTGCACAAAGCATATAGTGCTAGAGGAATTCGAGAAATTCTACAGTGAACCAAACACTGTGTGTCAGTGTTCTATCTACTCCTTCCTCATCTTCTCCAAAGCCCAGAGAAGTTCATTAATCCCCTGTTCAAAATCATGCGGGAAAGTGGTGGAAAGCTGAACGAGGACCAGGTCTTCTCCTTTCAAACAGTGTGGCTTCCCTGCAGTCTGCAGCTCATCTCTCCACGAAAGAGAACACACGCTCTCTCATTCTCTTATGCTTTGGCCTGTGTGTCCCCCTCTTGTTGCTCACCACTGGCAAGTTCATCCAGAGAAACTCAGATGGTCCACATCCTCCACTCTGCTCAGCTGAGGCCAGGAACTAACTCATGGAATGGCCAGCAACTCTTTACTGGTGAGTTCAACTTCCTCCAAAACATCTTTTGATCTGAAAACAGAAATTAGTTGAACCTGATAAATCCCAGGAAAATTTCAACCTCTAAAGACCAATGTATAGTACTGCACAAAGAGTTTCATCCACTCAGAATCTACCACCAAGAGAACCTTAAAAAAATCTAGTGCCATTAAGGTACCAAGACATGATACAAACTGTGACACAGTTTTCACAAGGAAAGAATTAGCAGAAAAGTATTAAGTTGAGTGTGTGTGTGTAGCTTTCTTTAAATGTAAATAAATATATCACTGTGTTTTAAGGAAGGCTGAGAATAGGTTAGTCTTCATAACTACATGATGCTAATGAACCTTCCAAGGTATTTTCTTGGTCTTTAATTTCATTAATGTTTCATTGTTGTTTAATGCTGGTAACCATAGGTGGGATTTTTGTTGTTGTTGTTGTTTTCTTTTGTTTTGCTTCTGCTCTTCATTTAAGCATGCATCTTTTGGAGCGACCATTATGTGAATAGACTTTACCAATGGAACCATATTTTCCATCCCTGTAATAACAAAAGCTCCTCCCATCCCACCCTGACTTATCTTTTCATTTTCTTTCTTGAACTTCTAACCCATCTTCCCGCTTCTTCAATGACACCTCTGCTTCCTGTGCTGATTTCTCTTCCTCCTCCTTCCTCTTCCAAACATGACCCCAGGCAGGGCTCCTACACCAGTCACTGCTCCATTGCTCTTCCTCCTTGGTCATGCTCACAGCTGGCAATGACCTCCAAACCCCATGGATGCCTTCACATTTTACTACTACTTCAAGTTTGGAACACCTAAAAATTGCATTAGACGTGGAGAATTGGTATATCACATCGTGGTCATTTTTATAACCCTCTCCTCCACCCTTCTCACTCCTCCCTTCCTCAGATCCCCAGCCATCCCCACAGCATCCCCCTCCCTGCTTCCAAACATCTCTCTCTTATTTTGCTGTCTGCATTAGTTATATTTTGAATTTTCACATTAGAGAAAGCATGCACTTTTTACTCCCTTTGTCTGATTGCTTCACTTAATGTTATGGTCTCAGGATCCATTCATTCTTCTAACAAATGTCTCAAATGTATCCTTCTTTCTGGCTGAGCAAAACTCCATTGTGTATGTATACCACATTTTCTTTATTTGTTCATATGTTTGTGGGCATATGGACCTCTTTCATAATGTAGATATTGCAAGTTATGCTGTTGCAAACATGGGTATGGAAATATCACTGTAGGATGATGATTTCAATTATTTTATGAAGGTACTCAGGTGAGATATAAGTGGGTCAAATGGAATTTCCACTTGTAGTTTTTTGAGGCATATCTATGTTGATTATTGTAATAGTTGTACAAATTTATATTCCCACCAATAATGTAGAAGGGTTCTTTTCTCCCCCACATGACTTACATATTTTGTTTATTTAGTTCTTGATGAGAACCATTCTTTTTAGAAGAAGGTGGAATCTCAATGCTGTTCTGATTTGGATTTCCCTAATTGCCAAAGATGATGAACTTTTCTTCATATATTTACTGGTCATTTCTACTTCTTCTGAGAAGTTTCTATTCATTTAAGTTGTCCAGTTTTGATTGGGTCTTCTATTTTGGGGGGACTGGTTTGTTTAAATTCTTTATGTCCTAGGAGGAGCTGGCAAAACTTTTACCTGCTCTGTAGTTTATCTCTTGACTCTGTTGGTTTTTTCCTTTGTTGTACAGAAGCTTTTTAATTTGATATAACTTCACTTGCTGATTCTTGGTATTGTGTCTCTTGTACTCAGGGTTCTGTTCTGGAAGCCCTTACTTATGTTTATGCCTTGAATTGTTTTACTGATTTTTTCTTTCAGAAGATTCAGCGTTTCTGTTTTTATATCTAGGGCTTCAGTATATTTTGATTCGATTTTAGTATAAGGTGAGAGATATGGGTACATATCCTTCTGCACATGGATAACCTGTTTTTATAGCACCATGAAAGAGGATATCTTTTCTCTAGCATATGTTATTGGCTCCTTTGTCAAAGATCAGATGGCTAAGGCACTTGGGGTTGTTTCAGCATTCTTTATTCTTTTTCCTTTTTCACATGGCTGTTTTTGTGCCCATACAAGGCTATTTTTATTGCTGTGGCTTTGCGGTACAACTTGAAGTCTGAGACTGTAATACCTCCTGCTTTGCTCTTTTAAACAAGTGTTGATAGTATATGGTTAACATTTTCTTTGATTTGTCTATTCGTATCTTGCTGTCATCTTCTGTCATCAGCCCATTTCAATCACATTCTTCTATTATTACCTGAAAAACTGTCATTATTTTTAACTGATTCTTCATCTGCACATTCTATAGTATAACAATTTGCTAAACATTTGAATCATTTGTTAGTCCTGACCAATATTGACAGCACTGCTGGACTACAAGGGAATAATAGCAGTAGCTTCCTTTGTGGTTTCCCCAATCTCTTCTCACTCCCATTTACCCTGCACAATCCTGCAAAAACTTCTTCCTTCAACATTACTTTTATCATATCACTCCTCTGCTCAAATCTCTTTCTGGCCTTTATAATACTGCATGGCTTTGTCTAGTTTTCATTTTGCAATTTAACCCAGGTTAGATAGTTAATTTCAGAACTCAGCATTTACTCATGGGTTATGCATGGTGACTACTCCACACTGCCATGAATAGTGTGGCATCCTCTTGGTCTGCTTTTCACTCATACGGATCTGAGGTTCTTCAAATCTCAGGATTAAATCTGTCCTTCAAGACTTATCCCATGCTGGTCTTTCTTTAGGAACCTATGCTGTTCAACTACTGGTTTGTTGTCCCAGACTTTATTCTGTCTGCCTCACTGCTAGGGAAGGAGGCAACCTTGCCCTCCAGCCTTTAGGTGACCAGCTTTCCTCCCAGGGAAGCATGAGGAAAGTTTCCAGTGGAAAAAAAATAAGCACCCTCCCACCAGTAGGTAACGGTACTTAACCGTGCTATTTTTATGCTACCTTTTAGTGTATAGGAAAACATCCTACTAATTTTTTGCATGTTTTGCATTATCAAGAAAGAACAATAACACATTTGTACTGATTTTTCTAAAAGATAAATGGGAAGGAAGGATTTTTTATTTTAAATGCAATTGTTTAATAAATGGAGTGAAATGTACAAGGAAATATGGCACTCAATGAGCATCCTTTTTAATGTTTTGACATATGGAATCATGTTGTTACAGAAAACAGACCAAACATGGGAAAAAATGGCACCGAGAAGGTTTAGGAGGCAGTTTATTATATCAGTGGACCTGACTGGGATCTCTCCCAAAAAATCAGAGCCCTGCCAGGCAGGGTTTGGGGACTTTTATAGGGAAAGCAAGCAGGGAAAACCTACAAAAGTAGATTTGGTGCATTGTGATTGGAGGGTTGGGTGACACCATGGGTTGCTAAGGAAGTTTAAAAATGTCAAATTACGTTGCAAGACCATCAGTTAAACAAGCATTTCACAAAGGAAGAAATTCTCCATTATCAGGCTTTTTCAGACGTGTCCATCTGGTTTTGGCAAACATTCTTGGCAAATTTTACTTAAAATTTTAATTTTCTTTTTAATGTTAATGATCTACATATTAGAAACATCAAACTAAATCAGAAAAATAAATCAAGTACAAACAACTAAAAATAAACATACTTCAGATGAATAACATAACTACCAACATGGGAGGTAGGAAGAACTATTAAAGTTATTTTGATTTTGCCCTCTGTCTACATACCTTTCACCTGAAGCAAAAATAAGAATTGTAAGCAAATTGTGAGTACTTCTCAGTTGTTTTGTTTTCATATTGTTCTGAGGACAATAATACTAAAAGAATTATGTGTGCACATGTGGGTTACAACACCAAATAATAAATACATAGATATTATTGGAAGCCAGCATTTTTCTTAAAAGAAAAAATAGAAATATGGGATATCTCTATAAGATTGAAATACTATTGGAAGAACCAATATAATTAGCTCCATATAGACATCCATTTCCTAATTCTGTCCATTAAAAGATAGTAAAACAATGACACTTCCATAGCAATAAACATACTATTATACAGAACTGAGTTCTAAGTAGTATTCCCAGTAAAGAAACCAGTACTTGAAAAAAATGGTTAATTTGAAAAATAGAGGAGGAAAATTACAAAATAAACGAGGGGCATAATCTTGTGCCAGAGTAAAAAAAGTGTCTTTAAAAATTTGAGAACCTATAACAGTGCAGAAAAATAGACTTGAAGGGGGCACCTACTTTGAGATCTAAGATCATTTGGGTTTCAAAATTAGTAAGGACAATAGTTGCAGATTAGTAGTTGTACATTAAGTTAAACATAGTGTGAATCCATAAGCCATTACTGATGAAGTTAGACCGATAATACAGATAGGAAGGTGGGTTAAGAGGGTAGATAGGCAGCTGTTGATAATAAACAATGGATCATAGGTTGAGAAAGGACAAGGTACAGACTTCAGATTGTGTAATTACAAATTATGTACACATTCTAAAAGAAAGAAATTGAAGAAGTAAACACTGTGTCCAAGTGATTGGTATATCTGTATCTATGTCTATTTCTATATCATCTACCTAGATATTACTAATGAAGGGCAATCGGATATTTTGAGCCTCTGGATGTGATACTCAAAGAAAAATACATCGTCACTTACGGTATACAAGCCATCAAAGAGAAGTCTGCATTTTTATAATGAGGGATCATCTGGAAAATACACATTGAGAAGCAATACTATTTACAGTTCCTCATCTTAGTTTTCAAAATTATCAGTGACATAAAAAGCAAAGAACTGATTCCTAATAAAGGGTAGGAAAGGGACACTACAAATAAATGTCATTTGCGACCCTAGATTGGATTGTACACTGGGGCATTGGGAACAGTTATAAAGGACATTATAGGGCAAGTGGCAATTCTAGAACACAGTATGTATGGAATGCATGTTATATCTTCTCAAGACATTGATGAAAGAAGGGAAAACCTTGAGTGATGGGCTCCTTTGTTATTTCTTTTCCTCTAGCTATTATTGAACCGAGTTCACTGAGAGTATTAAATGCTTCTGTTTTCCCCCCTTCATCACTATTCAGCCTGCTTGACAAAGGCACTAGGGCCAACATTTCACACTCCCTGATTGCTCCTTCTCGGCTAATTGAGGTTTAGCTTCATGCCACAGGTA